ACTCTTAGCATGATTGTGTAGGAATACGTCCAGAAAATGTGATATTGGTACAATAAATCGCACGATAAGCGCATGGAAGGCAAACCCGGAAACAACTCAAGCGCTAAAAACGTTTTTTGCGCAGAACGATGCCAGAATTTCAGTTCTGCGGATAGCAATATGCGTTGGTACAGAACGTGTTGAATTCTGGGTAAAACCTCGTACCGTGTGGTTGTGGCCCACGTTTTTTACGGCCGAATTGGGTTATCTTTGGTCAGAAATAAGCAGCCGTATATGGTCGCATTCGGGCGCAAAGGGTTAAAAGGAAATTAAATATGACAACGAATGTGTAAAAACAAATGTATTTAACTTTGCTGACTCTAGAGGGAGTATACATATAATATAGCATATCACATGTACCTTGAAGGTATCATACAACTAATTAGATTTAAATAGACATTTCACACTAAAAACTGGTTTTAAAGATGGAAATATTGTTAAAACTTTCTGAAATCACATTTATGTAATAAAATTGTCACCAGAAATGCACATTCCTCATGCATGGAAATTAGATTCACCATTGTATCAATAATAATTTAACCAAAATAAGAATTTTACTCAGGATAAAACCGTACCTACCGTTAAAATCCTATTATAAACTGCATACCTAATAGTAACCGCACCCCCGATTTTGGCTTCAGTATTAAAGAGATCTCAACAAAAATTGAAAACATGAAAAGTACCTATTACTAACCGCACCCCCAATTCAACAAGACCGTGACTGACTTTGTTTCAACCAGCTGGTACATTGTTCTTAATCCTCTTCATTTGTTTCAACAACGTGCCTAAAAATATTCACACCTCTTTGTTGTTCAGTAGTGTTAGGATGTCAAACACGCAGTGAAACTGCTTTTGTTCTTGCGAAAAACTGTTAAATTCTTTTTCAATGCTCAGTTTATCTTTCGAAAACAACTAATTTCTTGATTTAAAAAAAGTCATGTCGTTTTCCCATGGAAATCAAAGCCAAAAGATTGCACTACATTATCGGTAAATCGCTTCCGTGTTTCGTTCACCATGAAGTCGGTGACCTGTCATTAACATATTTAAATGAACTAAGGTAATTAGAACACGTGGGCACCATCCAGGCTTTTGATTGGTTAATTAGCGACTTAACCTATCCGGTCAAGTAACGTCCTGTAAACTCCTGTCATAATATACTTTCCGTTACGAAGAAAATAAAAAAAAATGCATATTACATTAAATATACTGAGTATTTTTTTTAATGTGAACAGTTTTTTTTGTGACGTGACGCTTATCGCTCTTCCCTGACATCTAAATTGGACGCTTATATTCAAAAGATTGCACGGTGTATTGTTTGTTTTGTGCAAGTGATGTGGAAAATTTAGTGATTTAGTGATTGCAATATGTACGTAACAGAAACTGCACCCCGAACTTGAGCTGTTGATCCCAATTTTTTATTTGATACATTGTAATATAAACTGCGGTTTATATTAGGATTTTAATGGTACAAGCACGTGGCAAGAACAAAAAATACTTTAAAACGATACATTGATCTTTACAGGCACAAACTAAAAGCATCATTAGGTGGTAAGGAATTTAGTGAACATGAGGCACCAGCCATTTTGTTGAAAGTTCAATATTTAGTTCATCATCTTGACATAGACCTCTTTTCCTTAATGAAGGGAATCTGCAAACAAAACATATCTGCTGATATTTGTTGAAAGGGAATCATTTTTTGTCATGCCGATTGGTACATCAAAAAGGACATTATTGCACATGCATGCTTATATTGCACCCCATATTCAGTATGCACACATGCAAAATGCTGTATTTTTTATTCCGGGAAAGTGGTCTAAATATACTCGTATACCCTGAATTACCTGGGATGTGATTTCTCTATTTCAACTGTGGTGGCATACTAACAAAAGCCAGTTTCTTGCAATGTACTTACGTTCAAAGTACTATATGAAGGCAATTTTACGGAACCTTGTACTTTGATATGTCAAGAAGGTTTAGACAGGTTTTCAGATTACATAGTGTCCAATGTAGACCGTTTATTTTGTTTACACAGGGTCCACTGTAAGGGGCTCGTACTGCATTTGTATAAAATAACGTTACTCTGGAATTTATTTGAGGAAAAAAATACTTTTATTCTTTGAGCACTGCATCGACACATAGTGAAATATTAATTTACACGTAATTATAAAACTGTATTTCTGAGACTATCGTAAATTGCATATCAATTGCTTTTAATGGTGAAAAAAAAACTAAACAGTGACTTTTTTGTGTTTCAAGAGGCAGTAAACAAACACACTTCTTTCAAGTTAAAGCAAAATATAAAACAAATCTTATTATTTTTGGACGGAATAGTAATGAAGGCTGTTAGAGTAAATCTGGAGAGGTTTTAACAACTCTAAATAAAAGAAATCTCACACATCAGACCACAAGGAACACGTTTCACAAAGCCGCATGCTAAAACAGGTTAACTGGTACACTCTGTACTGTACTGATAAAATGCCATTATTGTAACTTTTTAAACTATATCTCCATAGAGTATAAAGGGCGTTTGCGAAATAAAGTGGTTTTATTCCTGTTTGAATTGTACTCATCTTTACATTTCAAACTGACCAAATTATTCAAAGTAAACTTGACCATTACATTGCACAGTTTGGCCTATCACTGCCCTGCTAATCAATTTTCCAAAAACTTGACTTATTTATTCTCCTGGTAAATTAATGTTTTAAAATCGCTTGTCTCGGTAGATCAGCCACCTCCCTGTTCCCATCAACTATATAGTCTTTCTATATTACATTACTAACAGATTTACTTGCTTCAAAAAAACGCAGTTAAATGCACTTAAACTTGTGTATCTCAAACTATGCTGGAAGTTGTTGTGTATTCTATGAATTGGTTGCATCATAAGGTGCCCTCTCCAACACCATTGCTTAAAACATACAGATCAAAATACAGTTTTTGTGAGTGTAAAATGGACGGAATTCACATACTGCTTAAAAAGTATTCCAAGAAACTAATATACATATATCACATTGTACAATAAAGTGTCCATGACATGTTGTAAATATCAGTTACGTTACTGTCCAAAGTGCATGCATGCATGCATGATTTCTTTGAAACCAATACATTTTATCAGTATTTGGTGAACTATAAGCAAATATTTCAAAAAATACCTTTTAAGTAAAACATTGAAATGAATGATATAATATTAATTAATTAACACATGTCTCTAAAATGTAATATTTTGAAATCTACAAATACTATGATAGAATGTGAGCAGACAGAATTTCCATTTCTTGGGAAAGCAGTTTGTCTATAATATTTCAGATAGATTGTTAATGATGACACACATTTAGGAGACTATCATTATCATGCCAGAACACTGAAAATTATTGTCAAATTATCAACAGAAATCATTTCTCAATTGTATGCATTGTTAATGTTTCTAAGACTATCAAAGCTTTCTGAGTTACATTTATATATATATAATTTCAAATATTTCCATATATATATATGTAATATTTCCATGGTGACAAAAGTCTCTGCATTCCCATGATGCATTATGTTGCACCATCAACAATGAATCTAAATTAGGAAGACAAAACATTATAGACATTCATTCATTAAAGGGAGTGGGTGAGAATGAACAGAAACAAAACTGTAAATTATAATAATAAACACCTTCAGACAATGTTCATTTTTATTGAATATTCTCAGCGCTGAATTGGTTGAGAAAGTTCTTCCACCCGCGGGGGACATCTTGCTTTCTTCGCTGCCTCACTGACGGTGAAGGCATCAGGATTGAATTGCACGTGGTCCATGGTGGCGCGTATAATTGGACGTGAAAGTTCTTCCATTCTTGGTGTTGGGACCGCTCGCTTGGCTCCTTTAGTCACAGGCCACTGTATTGTGCGAGCTGGTAGGTAACCATCGACAACCCCTTTGAACTTGGCTAATTCCATCTGGCGTGATGTTGCAGCAGCATGTCGGGCACTTTTCGAAACCTGTTAGAAAGAAACTCAATCACGTTATACGCGTGTTCACATGGGTCATTAAAAACAGTTTACTGTAAAATACTTTATTTTAGCTGGAATTAATTTTTGCTGAAAAGGCCTTTTGGGTGTTTTGTATGGAATTTATTTTCACTGATTTTTGATGAGTTGAATGTGAAATATAGGAAAAAGGTTATATTCGCTAGATTTTACTTTCACTGACTCCTCCTTTCAGCGAAAATTTATTCCAAGCGAAAATAAAGTATTTTACAGTACTTGGTATGATTTGCAGCGCCCTCTGTGACAAATATGTGAAAATCGTTTGTTTATATATTGTCATGGGTTGGGTTTTTATCATAAACTTGGTATACCTGAATTTGTGCACAAATGTACATGTTTTGATATGATTGTTTATAGCAGTCGTGTAGCGTATGTACTAGTAGTATATCCTAGATTCAACCAACTCATCGTGTTTCACATTTTGAGTGCCAAAGACAACTTTTATCTGTTTACACATAATAAAACCTCTTTCAAGGCCTTTAGCCATTTCATTCAAAGTTACCCACAAAATATTGAAAAATACATAAAAATTCATGACCAAAATTTTGTAAAATCAATATGACACTGAAAGGGTTCAATTTGATGTATAAACACTTACTGGCCACATAGGTCCTCTGAATGGTCCATCTGGTCGACTTTTTGGTCTTGATAAAGTTTCTAGTCTTGGTGTAGCACTACTGGCGAGTGCGGACTTGGTCACTTTACTTTCAACCTACAAAATTAAAAAAGGCATTTCTATGAAAACAAATTGATATTGCCAATAATACAAAGTGAAATATTTGAAGACAATACAAACCAATTTTTCAATAAACAGATATCATATTATCTCTATTAGTAGCACCTGCGTTAACATAAATGACACGGGTATGTCCATGTTCAAACTATGTTGTATTTCAATAATCCAGTATATATAAAAAAAATTATATTTTTGAGTACGCCTCCATTAGAAATGCCTGTGTATAAAAGCAAATATTGTAGAATTGATTTCTCAATTCTTGTTGTCTGGTTCTGAATTGTTTACTCGTTATGTAAAATGTCACATATGAAATACCATAGTGATTGTATTGCTCATAGACATGAATAAATGTTGATTACAAACCTCTCTGGCTGGTTGGTAATCTCTGTGAGGAGTCTTTGCTCGAGCCAATCTTCCTGTCCTCTCGCGCTCTGCTGATTTCCTGGCCGTGTCTGTTACATTCCAGATTGGCGACTCTCTACCACAGCTGAATGTATGTTCTGGTCTATAATTATAATAAACAATATTTATATTAATGCAATTTTGTTATTATTTGAAAATTCATTTTTTCATTCTTTCAAGAGTATTAGTAACACTTATGGAAACGCCCAAAACACATGCTTTTCTAGGAGTGTTTAAAAATTAAATATGGAGTCAGTTTTTACTTGAAATAGTAAATTATCACCCAAAATTTTAATTTTTGCATATAGTATAATAATAAAATACAGTTAATTATTATGTTATATTGTAGACAATGAAAGCAATAATTCTATTGACACTACTAAGTTGAAACACTGCAGACATTCACATGACCTACAATTGAAACGAGCTCCATCGACTACGGACACGCTTCACAAACACCAATGTTTGGTACATGAACAATGCTCATTAAACATAGTTGACTATTAACTGTAAATTTAATTAGTTAATTGAAAATGCTGTCAATGCAATGCAAGTCTACATGATTAAAGGCTTGGCTCGTCATTAAAAAGGTTCAATGTAATTTTATTTTCAACGGTACAATGACGGCTGTTGAAGATGTCCTATTATATGCGACTTCAGCTGAATGTGTGATAAAATTCAATGAGCATTGTACCGA